CACTGAAAAAAAAAAGCATAACATGATGAAAAAGGCCCCGAACTTAATAAAAGAAAAATTTTATCGTTAAAATGTTATTATTAAGAGAAAAACGAAAAGTATTTATTTACTATTGTATTAAAATTTTCATTTTTTTCTAGCACAATCGAAATGTTGGTTAAGAAGGTTTTTTTTCGACTGCGGTTCACATAATGTCTACACATAGTGTTTCAATGATTTTTTTTTTCAGGTGAAAAACACATTGGAAATTCATGCAAAAATTAAATAATTCTCGGATTTTACTGGTACCAACTCTCAGATATATCTTGTTACATAATATGGCAAAATTATGTCTATCGATTTTGGTTATTAATTCTTTCAAATGATCGAATTTTTTAAGTTGTTTTGTGTTAGCGGTAAATTTCTCCAAAATTCATATTAATTTTTATTTTATATTATTTTTTCCCTTATAGGTACCTCCACGAAATCGCTAAAAAAGAGCATAGCTTGATGAAAAGACGCCAACCTTGCCGAAAACAATTTTATTGTCTAAATGCTTATGTTATTATTAAGAGGAAAAACCAAAAGTTTTTTTTTTTAAATTATTTTAAAAAAAATTTCCTTCTTTTTAGAACATTCTAAATTTTGATTAAAAAACCTTTTTCTATTTGTATCAGCGGAACTAGTAAATAACATAGACAATTTTAGCACGTTTTTTTGGTATGACACATTAATTTGAAAAATCGTGCAAAAAATAGAAATAATTATCGGATGTTAATGAAACTTTCAGGAACTATTCACAGATGATCGAAATTATTATAAATATGTTTTTTATGAAAGTCATGGTAGAAATATTTGTTAAAAATATTTATTACCCCCCCATAACTAATTTTATGAAAACGCTAGAAATTCGATCGCATCGGTTTTAGTGATTACAATAATTAAAAAGCACAGGGCTTTGAGGAATGGAAATCATGTTTTTTTTTTTTTAATTGGATACGCAGTACCTGAAAATCAGCTCTGAATTGTAACATACAAAACTCAATAAAACAAAAGATATTATTTAATTTCAAATGCTTTTATTTGCTTTTAGTTGTTTTTTATGAATATGGACAATATTTTCTGAAAGCAAAAAAATTTTTCGATGAAAAAATGAATTTTTAATACAATTATTTGTTATTTCATTAATTATAATAGATTTTACATTTAAGTTGTTAAAATATTATAAAATTAGTTAAAAGCCGCATCGGCTTTCATAAGTGTCCTTATGAGATAGATCTTTTTTAGCGCGTTGTAAATTGTATCATTTTGACTAATCAGAAGATCCCCAGTAATTAAGAAATGTAATTTTTGTGCTTATAATCGAGCTGTAATTATAAAATACGGAAGACCAACCAGAATATAATTAAGTTGCGTTATTTGAGTTAAGCATTGTTCTCCGCTGTTAAGGCCTTTACTTTTGCGAAACACGTAGACATCTCATATATATATATATATATATATATATATATATATATATATATATATATATATATATATATATATATATAAGTAAGGAAAAGTTTGGTAATCCGTATGGATAATCCCAGAGAGCTCAATGGCAAATCAGAGCAATTATTTATTCAATTTATATAGAAAATAGACAACCTTAAGGGGTCATTGGTTATAATTTATTTCTCCAGAAGTGTGGTCTGACGAACCAGGCAAAACCCACATAAACTGGGGATATCTGTGCCTCGTGTTTTTAAAAATGTCTTCATGAAAGAATTACTTCTTTCCCAAATCAAATATATATATATATATATATATATATATATAAATTAAAAGAAAACGCTTAAATTCTTAACCTCAGGTTATTTAAAATATATAACACATAAATTAATCCAAAACTAAAATAATTTAAATAATATACCCAACATCTACCCAGTTTCGTTGAGTAGACATTAACCTTTTCAGCTATGCGTTCCTGAACAATTTTAACCCTTCTGTCTAAGTCCCTGACTCAAAATTCGCAAATAATTGCTATATAATGTTTCATGGTAGATTTAAAAATATTTACAAGTGTTTACCCGCTGTTCAACCGGTAGCTGGGCATTAAGTCATTTTCTCTACCACTGTTCAAACAGTGTCTGGGCATTACGTCATTTTTTTTTCTACCACCGGTAAAGCGTTGGTTAGGGCTCAAAGGTTCTAAATTACGTCACTTAGCATCTTCCATAATATACCTAGGCTTTTCAGTTAGTCTGATGAATATTTATGGGCGTTGTTAAATCAAATAAATTGAAAAACTAACGGCATTTTTGTTTTTGTTTATAAATACTTGTAGCAAAATGAAATCCTTACATCAGATGACGAAACAGGTTTTCCATTTGTCGTTATTCATACACACACACACACACACATATATATATATATATATATATATATATATATATACATATATATTATTTGTATATTATATATGCACGGTACTTATTGGAAAGCGTTCAATATCCTATAATATATACAGCTAATATACTTA